ACCTGCCTCTGCTTCCAAAGTGCTGGGATTATAGGCATATGCCTCAATGCCTGGTTTCTGAATATACCTTTTTTTTTTTTTTTTGGTCTTTTTGAGACGGGGTCTTCCTGTAGCCCTAGCTGACCTGGATTCGCTATGGAGACCAGGCTGGCCTCGAACTCACAGAGATCTGCCTACCTCTCCAGGGACTGAAGTCGTGTGCCACCACACCCAGCCCTGAATATACCTTTTTAAATGAAGGTGGGAAATTATTAAGGCAGTTCTACCCTCTAAGCAACTTTCCTGGGCTGAAGTTGGACTTAGCAGGTGTCTACAACTAGGTCAAGTTGTTTAAAAGTGAGAAATGTCAGTCTGTGGTCAGAGGGAGGCCAGGAGCCCAGAGCAGTAGCTACAGTCCTCAGTCTGTTCCCACAGATAGGTGGCCTGCTGAACTTTGGGAAAAGTGGAAAATGTCACTCTCTTTAGATTAGTCAAAAGAGGGGGTTGACTGAGAATAGACAGAAATGGAAGGAAGCAAGCTCTTTAAACTGGGAGTTCATGGAGCCCCTAGGGGGAATAGCAGAAAACTCCAGGTCATGACCCTGGGAGAATGCCTCCTCATAGTGGCCTGTCATCATGCTCTTGACCAATTTTTACCCTTTAGTTTCAACCTGTTTTTCACAAAAGTTAAATGTTTTTTGTAGAAAAATTGCAGCTAGAGAAAACACAGAGAAAACAACCACACATGCTTCGTTGGTCACTGTAACCAATGCTCCTACTGCACATAGTTACCGCATTCCTCCTGGCTCATAACCAGGACTGTACTGTGGACCCAACAAAGTGTCTGTTAGGCGTTTTTTTTGGTCCTTTTTGAGACAAGGTCTCCCTGTAGCCACAGCTAGCCTGGAACTCATTATGTAGACAAGGCTGGCCTTGAATTCACAGAGATCTGCCTGCCTCTGCCTCCTGGGTCCTGGGATTACAGGCATGTGCCACCACATCTGGCTGTCAATCATATTTTTTTAGCCCTCCCTATCTTTTTATTTTGAAATTCTTCAAACCTGTTACAAAGGTACAAATAGTACAATGACCCTTCACCCAGATTCAGTCTGTAGTGCTTTATCTCCCTCCCTCTCTCCATAAATATTTCCTTAGATTTCACCATCTGTTACTATTTTCACTTTCTGTCTCTATAAATATTTTCCTGAGTCACTTGAAAGTACATGTGGACATCATGGCACTTTCCCCTAAACTCTCCCTTGTCTGAAGAGCAGGTCCCCAGAGTCTAGAATGAGAGAGCTCCTGGGCATTGCTGCTAAACCTCTAAGCGAGGGCTAGGTCAACAGTCAACAGAACAGCTCCTTCTTCACTGTGCGTTCCCTCCAAGATCCATGAGACCAGATTTCTCCTGATCAAGGGGTATAGCTCCCCCCATGAGATACTGAGAGCACTTAAGTCACCCAGCACAACAGAGGAAGAACTTGAGTGCAGCAGGTAAGAGGCTAGAGTGTAGCTCAGTGCTGGAAACCAGCCTAGCAAGCACAGGTCCTCTATTCCAGAAAAGAAAGTAAAAAAACAAGTGGCAGGAAAGTGCAGGTAGGCCAGATTATATAGAAAGGGGAGCCGTGCTGCTACCTAGCGGCCATGTTTAGGATTTCACCAGAATTCTGATTTTACCAGAGACCCATCCATCATACCTGCTATTTATTTATTTTTTATATAATTTATTAGTTTTATTTTTAATTTGTATGTATGAGTGTTTTGCCTGCATGTATGTAACTGCAATGCCCACAGAAACCAGAAGAGTGCATCAGATCCCCTGGAACTGTAGTTTTGGATGGTTGTTAGACACTGTGTACATGCTGGAAACCAAATCTGGGTCCTCTGCAAGAGTTGTCAGTGCTCTTAACTGATGATACATCTCTCCAGCCCCATACATACTATTTATTGAGGAACCACCCTATGCCTGGAATTTTTCACCTATTATCTCACCCATCACCTACAAGCCCTCGAAGTTAGGCCTAATCAGAATGTTCACAACACAGCCTGGAACATCACACACATTCTATGCCTGTATTTTGAGTGAGTATGGAAGCAGGCTCTGAAAGGTTAGCTCACCCCAGGTCTCATAGCTAGTAAATGGTAGTGTCAGAATTCAGACCCAGGTCTGTCTGGCTCCAAATCTGCGTAACTTAGTCATTCTACTTCCTTACTGAGGGAAACATATAAATAAAGGAAGGAGAAATGATTATGATGATTAAAGAGACCACAGAAGCTCAACAGTATATTATATAAACACATAGAGGTCCTGGAAGGGAATGGATCCAGCTCTGTAGTGTCAGGCTGGGAATGAAGCTCCAGAGCCCCATAGATGAGTCCATCTCATCAAAACTGAGTGGCCAGGCCATGGCAGGAACAAGCAAGGATTTGTAGAGTCCCAGAAATGTACTATGAGATGGGTTAGAAGAAACTCCTGTTCCTCTAGGGAGACTAAATGCTGTTCAGCTGGGGCTTTTTGAGCAGGAAGGAAAGTAAGCAAGAGATTGAAGAGAGTAGGATGTAAAAGAGGAGAAATTCACCCATAACAATCATCTATGATAGAGAAAAGAAAGAGTTGCAGGTCAATGTAGATAAACAGTAAATAATTTGAGCTTTGAGAGTCATGTGGTTTCTATTGCAACTGTTTACCTCTGCTGTGATAGCACACAAGTAGCCACAGATATCTGCAAATGAGCATGGTTGTATTCAAATAAAACTTTTTAAAAGGAGGTTGGCACTACACAAAGGGATAATGCTCCTGCCAGAAGTCATAGGTTACTAAACAAAAATCCCAGTGCCAGAGGGGAGTTACTTCCCTTTGAGTTGTTGGTCTTACCCAGTTGTGAACCCTGTGAGTTACAATACTGACAGGCCTGGCAGGATATACTCCTTGGTGCAAGAGTGGCATGAATGTTATGGGGGTAACTAATAACTTTAAAAAATTGGATTTAAGGCCTTCTCTACAGGAGGGAACTCACGCCTGGTACTGTGAAGCTGGTCAGGGACCCATTTCTGGGGAGGCTTATATAAGCCTAAGGGGGTGAACCTAGTACTACTATTTTCCTAAATGGACATAGTATCAAACTGCCTTTTAAATACTTATCTTTATGTCCATAGATTATAGCAACTCTCCACCCTTATTAGAGAAGATTCTTTTGCAGTGGGAAGCAGTTAACACAGAGACACACAACTGGTCAAAGTTCAAAGATTAAGTGAATGTGGAGAGCTCAGTCCTAAATGGACATTAGTATTATCCCCTTTCCCCTAAGGCTCAGAGAACATTGAGGGAGAGGTGGTGAAAAGTTTGTAAGTGCCATAGGTTGGGGAGGACTGTTGTGAATCAGTGCCTTCTAGGCATGACAGGGCTATTGTACACATGAACTCACAGTAGCTGTGGTTTTCTGCACAAGTTATGCACAAGATCAAGCCAGTCAACAGTCCAGTGTAGATGGAGGAGAAGCTCACAAGGCCCTACTCTTAGCTGAGGAGCTATTGGCAGTTGATGGCCCCTGGCAGGGGTCGAAGGGAAGAGACATTTTTCTTCAGTATGGTCCCTGATAAGGTGCCCATGTTCCAGTAGAAGGCCCCACACCTATGCTCATAAGGGCAGCACTAATTGGACCCAGTGGACTTAAAAACACAGTACATGAAGTTGGGAGGAGATGTGTTGGGGGGTAATCTGGAAGGAGTTGGAGGATAGATGTGATGAAAATACATTGCATACATCTGTGAAATTCTTAAAGAAAAAAATATAATAAAAAAGGTGGGAGGGGCTAGAGAGACAGCTTGGTGGTTTAAGAGCACTGGCTGCTCTTGTATAAGACCCAGGTTCAGCTCCCAGTACCCACATGGTGACTAAACAACCATCCATCCAACTCTAGTTCCAGGGGATCAAAGAGCCTCTTCTGGGTCTTATACACATGCAGGCAAAACACTCATACACATAAAATAAAAATAAATCACAAAAATTTTAAGGAGGTAGGAATGTGGCTTAGTGGTAGAGCACTTGACCAGCATATGCATTACTGGTATATCTATTGGAGCAATAGTGGCATGAATGTTAAGGGGGTAACCAACCACTTTTTAAAAAATAGGATTTTTTTTTTTTTTTTTTTTTTTTTTTTTTTTTTGGTCTTCTTTAGATAGGGTCTCCCTGTAGCCTCAGATGGTCTGGAACTTGTTACATATACCAGGCTGGCCTCGAGCTCACAGTGATCCACCTGCCTCTGCCTCCGAGTGCTGGGATTAAAGGAGTGTGCCACCACACTCTGCTAAAAATTGGATTTAAAACCTACTCCACAGGAAGGAACCAAAAAAAAATACCCAGATTCATTTTCAAAATCAAGAAATGTACCAGCGTGACTCACAAGCTGTAGTTTGCTGAACCTGTTCTAATGGTATCTAATAATCAATATGTGATTTTTAAAAAAGGAATTGAGAAAATAAAATAAAAGACAGTCATGACAGACACAAGTATGCCAATTGAAGCCTTTCTTCTGCATAGCCTGAATGAATTATTCCTTTTTTCTTTGCTTTCTTTTTTTTTTCTTTTATTTTTTTTGTGTGGGTACAAGTATGGGCACGTGTTCATGTGGGTGCCTATGTGAGGATGCACGTACATGTGTGTGTGAAGGTCAGAGGTCCAGCTCAGGTGGTGTTCCTCAGGAGCTATCCACCTCATGTTTTGAGGCAGGGTCTCTCATTGGCCTAGAGCTCACAGAGTAGCTAGGTTGGCTGGCCAGTGAGCCCTGGGGATCTACCAGTCTCCACCCCCCCAGTGCTGGGATTAGAAGCATGTACTACCATGCATAGCTTGAATTATTCCATTTCTAGGAATCAAATGTGAACTGGCATGGGACTCACAAGGTATAATCCTTCAAATATGGGCATTTAAGTACAGAAAGGCTCTTACTACAAACCAAACTCCATGATAGCTCACCCAGGTACAACCCTAGGTACCAGGAGGGGTCTAGGAGTCTTACCTCTTCTGGAGGAAGTGCTCACATCTTTTCTCCACTGGCAATACCTGGGGGAAGGCCATAGTATCTGCAATGTCTTTTAGAGAGATGGTGCAATTTTTGGAGATATCTTCCAAGAGTGGGTAGGCCTCAAAATTAAATAAGAAAACCAAGTCTGGGGTATCCTCAGTGTCATTAGTAGATGCAGTTTTAGCATCTGGATGGTCTCCTGTAAGGAACGGAAAATGCTGTGTTTAGTGGGACTGCTTTCTCCATGGGTTCTAGGGTCCCTGGGGTGTGGGGCTGCTCTGAGTACAAAGGCCAGCCAATTGGCTTGAGCTGGGAAGGGATTATTTAATCATGAAGAACAAAGACCTTGTCAGCATTTTATCAAAGAGCTTTGGGGGACCAAGCTGCAGCATTGTTTAGCCTGGGGGAATCATAGTTTTTGAGAGGTCAGGGAAAGTCAGGGAAGAGAGCAGTAGTACGTCCTAGAACTAGGCAGCTGTCCTCATGTTCCCTTCCATACCGTGGAGCAGAAAACATGGGTGGTGTGCAGACACAACAAACAGTGGCTTCCAGGGGCTCTCCAGCTGATGATACATGGGGGCAGCAAAGGCACAGATGATTTTAGCCTTGGCCACATCCATGAGGCTCACAGAATAGTTCCTGGAAAAGATCAGCACCTGGGAAGGTAAGGGATGGTGGGTGAGGACTTCTCTCAGATGTGGCCTCCACAGGAAGGCAGAGAGTAGGGGCCACCTCAGGACCCTACTCTGGGGCCTGCCACCTTCTTTTCCCACCTCCTGCCATTTGTCCCACTTTGGACACTTGTTACCACAAGGAAGAGCTGGACTCTCAGACCAGGGCACTGCTCTCATTCCCTTAAACTGCTTTCCCTGAGCTTACAGGGCCCCTCCTGCATGTCCCCAGGGTCCCTCTCTGTTACTTTGTGAGCTCATTATCCTTGTCCTGTAGGCAATGGCAGTACCTACAGGGAGACTCTATCATATCTACTCACCTCCTAGAGACTACAGGGACATGTTAGCACACTATCTTGAACCACTGCTCACTAACTGCTGGTAGACACAGAATGGATATTTGTAGCCTTAGGCATTCTCAGAGCCTCCCCTAGGGATCCTACAGGGCCTTGCTCTCTGCAGGGTCACTCCAAGAATCACAGACTTTTTGGTCTATGTCCTCACTGTAGGCCCTGAAAGGAACAGGGAATCAGTTCTGCATGGCAGGATCAGATATGATGCCTTCCTCCACTTCAGTTGCAGTCACAGCTGCCTAGCACAGCCCTCCTTGGAAGATGCTGCTCCCTTGCTTCCAGATCTCCATCTGCAGCTTCATTCCATAGGAGACCCATCTGTACCCTTCTTCCCAGCACACAGCCCTGCAAGGCTGGTCCCTCTATCCCACTCCTACTCCAGCCTCCTTCCTCTTCCCACTCACAGACTTCCAGCAGTACCAGAACACACCTAGATCTCCTGCCTCTTGGTGCTGTCTCCTCATCTCCCTGGCTCAGCTCAGTTGTCCCCTCCTGTCATACTCCCCTCTCCAGTGTCAACTTCTTCAGATTGTCAGCTAATCTCTATTCTGTTCCATGCATTCATTACAGAATCATGTCACATCCTTTTTTGTGTTCTAGGACACCTTCTCAGTGACTTGTCTCTCAGTGACATCCATAAGGACAAGGATTTTCTCTTTAATTTTTTAAATTTATTATTTAGTTGGTCCTAGGGATTGATTCTAGAGCCCTGTGCTGGCCCATGCTAAGCATTTGCTCTACCACTGAGCAATACCTCCAGCCCTGGAGTCTCTCTTTATATCTGTATATCCCTAAGCTAATCCAATGCCAAGCACATAGGCTGTTAATAAATATTTGTGGAAGGAACGATGAACTCACTCACAGAACAAGAACACAGGCCTGGGAACCTACCATGCCAGGCAAGGATGGGACTGGGGCCACTGAACAGATGGCTTCTTCTGGGTGATTCACAGGCCTACAGGGCACAAAACAAATGAACATTCTCCAACTGTAAGTCTTTCATATTTTTACTATTTTTCAGGAATCTCACCTGGGGGAATGTGGGAGACAGGCTTGAGCCTAGGGTGATATTGCAACTGTCAGGGTCACGTGGTTTCCAGGAATCCAGGCTCTGTAATCTGAAACCCAGTATGCTAATGAGGCATCCTACCCTCTAGTCTGTGATAGGACGTTAAGTCTGTTATACTAATAGGATGCTAAGTCTGTTATGCTAATAAGGAATCCTACTTGCTGCACCGTGATAGGACATTAAACCTGTTATGCTAATAAGGTATCCTACTTGCTGTGCTGTGATTGGACCACTACCCCTACATAAGCTTGTGCCTTCCTAGAATAAACAAGACCTGTGTCCCTGAACCTGGTCTCCTGTGTCTGAATGTGGCTCCACTGACACAGTCTCCTCCCCTAGGGTCGGGCAGAAGTGGCGATGACGGGAGGCAGCACAGGGCAAGCAGAAGAGCTGCCTCAGCACCAGGCAAGCAGAAGAGCAGCCTCAGCCCAGGGTGAGTGGAGGAGCAGCCTCGACGCCCATGAGAACGAAGGAGCAGCACCCAAGAGAATGGAGGAGTGGCCACCACTGGTGGTGACCGCAGCTGGTGCCCAATGTGGGGCACGAAGCCTCCTGCCCCACGGAGCTGTAACACACGGAGCTGTAACACTTGGGGCTCCCAATGCCCTCTTTGCCAGTGATTCTTCCATGGGTGCTTGCCGCTTTCATTCTGTGCTTCCTCTTCTGGCTTGCAGTCTTCGGTTTGTCATGTTGTTCCTGTCTCTGCTGATCGTCTTCCTGAACGGCTCCTGAGTCCTTCTGGGTGTGTCTTGCAGGGTGAGTGACCTCCAGTATGGGTAATAGTCATCCAGCTCCTGCCAGCCCCCACGCTGCTGCACTGGTTTCTCTCCTCAGGAGTAGGCAAATTAGGGTAACAGAAAAGGAAGTAACTAAAGTATTAGATGAAGTGCTAGCTCTTGCTCCTTGGTTTACAGATCCCTGCTGTTGGGATCTGGAGCAATGGGCTTCTGTGCTACTCATGGCCAGAAAGGTAGAAGTCAGGGAGGGGCATCCATTATCTGGGCTGTTCTACCCCATTGTGACTGCCATTCTGGCCTCACTTCAGGGAGTTCCCCCTGATGCCCCTGAGCAGAATAATCTCATACTAAAAAATATAGATAAACAAATAAAGCAACAGGATAGTGGGGACGGCTTGTCCCAGGCTTTTCCAGTCAAAACCAAACTGATTTCTCATGTGGAAATGATGACTGCTGATAATGAGGTAAAAAATGATGAATTAGGGTCCGAGGGTCCCCCTGATGAAAAACAGGAAGTTACGATCGCCCCTGCCCCACCATTATGGGGCAGTGGCTACCCTCCACCATCTCGTATTGGCTTTGATGAAAAACGGGAAGTGAAGGCAGCCTCTGCTCTGCCATTACGGGGCAATGGCTACTTTCCACTGTCTTGCACTGGCTCTAAGGAAGTTTCCCCCCAGTCCATCTACCCCTCCCTTCCAGAGGAGGACTGGAAGCCCCTGTTGCCTAGGCCCCTCTCCTATGATACAATGGGTGATTTTCCACAGTTTTTCCCGGTTACTGTCAATCAGGGACTACAGAACCCTAATGTCTGGAGTGCATATTCTCATTATGATACTTTGAAAAAGCTGCATAAGGCAGCCATTGAGGATGGCATTCATTCCCCTTGGTTTGGTCAGCTATTAGATACAATAAGCCATGTGGCCAACACTCCCTATGACTGGAAGAATATTGCCCGTGCCTGTCTACAGGGAGGTTATTTTCTCTTATGGAAGGCTGCTCTACCGAGTGTCGCCTTGCCATAGGACCTGTTAGGCACAAGGATGTCTCTGAATGGATTCTGACCTGTCGGGATGTGGGGACCACTCAAGCTTATGCCACGGCTCTTGCTGAGGCACTGGCTGCTCAACAGCCACAGGCTGAGATGGACAAAGGCAAATGTTGGGCTTGTGGATGACAGGGTCATTGGTCTCGCACCTGCCCTAACAAGATCTGGCAGATGGCACCTGTTGTTAACGCAAGGGTGAGGCTATGCTTGTGTCTTTCCAGATAATGTTCCAGCCCCCATTTGAATACCAGCCCAGAACATCAGAATTGCCTGCAACGGGAAACCTCCCTCCACAACCACCGACCCCGGAGATGGCAGCCCTGACCCTGGAGGAAGCGATGTACCTCTTAACCACTAAGAGACTGACCCGGCATCACAGACCATGAAAGCGACCAGCCCCAATGGCACACCCAATAACGGGACGACCTAGAGTATCTCACTTCACAAGCAAAGACTATAGCCATTACTGGTATCTCCTAATTTTTGGACCCTGCACTGTTAATTTTGTTAAGGCTAGTTCAGTTAGCTGTTGCCCTACCTCCAGATCTTGCCAGGCATGTCTCTGCAAACAAGGACCCACTGTTCCTTGACCTTACCAACCTACAATTGGCCTCCGATGGTTTTCAACTAATTCTTGGCCCCTCGGGAGGCCTTTAAACAAGCCAATACTGGATGTACTGCCTCTCCCTCTGCCAAACCACACAAAGGGACCCACCCTTCCAGGGCTGGTAGTCAATGACGGGTAAGATCCCAACAGATGGAACAACCTAAAATAGGCACAGTCCATTATGCTGGGTGACCCTTGAGGTGGGGACAACAACGCCGAGGCAAAGCATCTCAACTCCCACTGGTGGGCATGGAGTTGGCCCAGCTTGCTCTTGAGGAAGCTCACCATCTTGAGGGAGGGGGCTCTTGATACAATGACCCCCTGAGCCATTCTACTTTGCCTTGATGTATCTGGACTGATATCAATATGCTATATACCTCACCTTTAAAAATAAAAAAAGGGGGCGATGTGGGAGACAGGCTTGAGCCTAGGGTGATATTGCAACTGTCAAGGTCACGTGGTTTCCAGGAATCCAGGCTCTGTAATCTGAAACCCAGTATGCTAATGAGGCATCCTACCCTCTATTCTGTGATAGGACGTTAAGTCTGTTATACTAATAGGATGCTAAGTCTGTTGTGCTAATAAGGTATCCTACTTGCTGTACTGTGATAGGACATTAAGCCTGCTATGCTAATAAGGTATCCTACTTGCTGTGCTGTGATTGGACCACTACCCCTATATAAGCTTGTGCCTTCCTGCAATAAACCAGACCTGTGTCCCTGAACCTGGTCTCCTGTGTTGGAATGCAGCTCTGCTGACACAGTCTCCTCACCAGCCCTGGGGTCCGGGACCAGGCAGAAGCAGCGACAACAGGAGGCAGCACAGGGCGAGCAGAGGAGCAGCCTCGACGCCCGTGAGAATGAAGGAGCGGCACCCATGAGAATGGAGGAGCGGCTGCCACTGGCGGTGACCACAGGGGAACTCTTGATGCACACCAGGGGATACGTGAAGAGATCATTTAAAGTAGCAAAAAACTAGGAACAGTGTAGATACCCACCATCAGAAGGTTGCTTGAATAATAATATAATTCAGCAATGTAAAGAATGCACCAATATATGAAACTCACAGTTGACGTTGCCAAGCAAGTTGGAGGATTTGTAGAAAGACTATGGTCCTAGTCATAAGTTTCCTAAATATGCACAGCTTAACAATATATTAGAGGTAAAATCATGCATATGTCATAATTTTTTTTTGGTTTTTTTTTGGTCTTTTTGAGATAGGGTCTCCCTGTAGCCCCTAGCTGGCCTGGAACTTACTATGTAGACCTGGCTGGCCTTGAACTCACAGAGTTTGCCTGCCTCTACCTTGGAGTGTCGGGATTAAAGGCGTGCAACACCATGCCCAGCCATGTGTCATAATTCTTAAAATAAATCAAGGAATAATGAGTTTAGCAAAATAATGTCGCAGACTGAGAAAGCACATAGAATTTAGCAGGGTCCACCATCAAAATGCGAGTCTATTTTCTCATAATTTGAATGTGTGCAGTGTCCAGGGGATATATTTTTCTCAGTAGGACATTAGCAAATGTCACATAAACAAAGATGTGAGAAGCATTTGTGCTTTGCAGCTTCCCTCTCTTACTGTTGGGCTTCCTTAGATAAGCATGTGAAGAAGCCTCAGCCAGCTGGTAGGAAAGGCCAGGAGGAAGGGAACAAAGGTTTCCTGATCAACAACCTGCTGATTTCCAGGAGTGGTAGTATAGTCACACTAGGCCCTTGGCTGAGTCACCAGTTGCCTGCTAGCATTCATGCCAGCTAGGCAAGGCCAGTAGACACTTGATATAGCTGATTATAGACCCAGGGATAACATTTAAGGACTGCTTTCTGAAAGCATTAAAACTGGGAGGTAGGGGCTGGAGAGATGTCTCAGTGGTTAAGAGCACTGACTGCTCTTGCAGAGGACCGGGGTTTGATTCCCAGCACTCATATGGCAGCTAACACTGGTCTGTAACTCCAGTTCCAGGGGATCAAATGCCCTCTTCTGACTTCCGCAGGCATTGCATAACACTGGTGACCCCACCTACATGCAGGCATTATACTCATACACATAAAATAAAATTAATAAATAAAATTAAAAAAAAAAACTGGGGAGCAGTGTTTGGCATGTCGAAGTCCATAGTTAACAACTTTCCAGGAGTTGGAAGTAGGATGTGATCTGGAAGGAACATTCAGGGGGGCTTAGGGAACTGGAGACCACTGGTTTCTACTGGGCACAGGGAGTTTATCTCAGCAACCTTTGTCACACACAGACATACCACATACCACACACATACATACACATTCTGTATACATTCATTTGCATATATACAATATTTTAAAAAAATTTTTTGAGACAGGGTCACTAAGTATTCCTGGCTGGTCTAGGGCTTGCTATGTAAACTAGGCTAGCCTCAAACTCTCAGAGATCTGCCTGTCCTAAGTACCATGATTAAAGGGGGCACCATTATGCCAGACCTTACTTAAAAAACATTGTTGAGCCAGGCGTGGTGGTACATGCCTTTAGTCCCAGCACTTGGGAGGCAGAGGCAGGATGATCTCTATGAGATCAAGGCCAGCCTGGTCTATATAGCAAGTTCCAGGCCAGCTAGGGCCACAGGGAGACCCTGTCTCAAGAAGACCAAAAGCCTCAGTCTCACAGAGATCCACTTGCCTCTGCCAAGATTTTTTAAATTTTTTAAAAATTCTTGAGAGAACTGATGAAAGGTTACTGTGGCATACCCTCACGACACCATGGTCAGGAGATGGTCAATCTTTACTATGAAACAGCATCATCTGTTAGATTATCATCTTGTCCTGCCCCCAGGCCACCAACCTCTTGACAAGCACTGTAGTGGTGGGTCCTTTGGTCTGACTGGCTGTCACCAGATGGAGGGAAGCATTAGTGCACAGCACCACACACATCATTTGGGATTTCACCTGGCCTTCAGGGTACATGTTCCGTCCTTCATGTTCCAGAAAGAATCTTAGGAAGTGAATGCTTTGGCAGAAACACCCCTCGGGGAGAGCTACGACTCCAAAAGGGAATCCTGGGGAAAGAAATCACAACAGTTAGTCAGACAGCCAGGTACTGGCCTTGTGACCAGCAAGTATGTGAGGGGCATATGTGACAGAGGGCCAGGTAAACCAATAAGTACCTTGTGCAAGGAGTAAACTAGTGTCCAGTTGGGGAGAAGAACTTCTCTGAGAGCCTTGTGTCTGGAGAGGACCAAGGCCAAGGAAGAAGAGGGGGCAGGGAAAGCAACGGGATGGTGCATCTAAAGCCCATCCCAGCTGACCTATAGCTGCCCATGAGATGCATGATGAGATGCATGATGTACAGCGGGGTGATGTAGTTTTAGAAAGAGTGTGTGTGTGTGTGTGTGTGTGTGTGTGTGTGTGTGTGTGTGTATATATGTGTTACCAAACAAGAATTTATCAAATGAAAATGAGCTGTTGGTTAAAGGCCTGTGAATTGCTGCTGGCTCATAGATCCTCACTGAAGTCTGGCTAGAGGAGCCTCTCCCCTAAGGGCTGACACACACCGAAGTAACCAGTTACTACCATCTCTGTACCTGCAAAGCAGGACCAGAGGCCTGGGCTCCCACCATGGCGCTATCCAATTAGAGCAGCTTCTGGTCTCATTTTGATCACTTTCTAGTTTTCTTAGCAGGTAGACTGTGAATACCAGACAACTGAAAGCCCAGAGCCTCAGGAATTTCCAAGTTCCTAGAGTCTCATTGATGAGCGCCATCAGGTGCTCAGTTGAGGGCTGGGATGGGGGACTCACCTTGGACCAGGTCCCACAGAATGAGTACACCATCCTCACAAGCCAGTGCCAAGTAGGAGGAGGAGTCACTGATCTGAGACACTGCAATAGGTGCAGCACAGGGCCACACGTTCTCACAATCTAGAGAGAAGGAAACTGCTTATCAGGCTTTCTGAAGACTGCCCCAGCCCAACACCTCCACCAAGACAATCTGAGTCCAGACTAGTCTCCTTCCCCAGGGTGTGGGCACCAGGAGCCCCTGTCTGGACTCCCCACCTCTCCTCTCTGCAGCACTACTTCTTGTCTGCTAAGAAGTCACAGCTAACATTTAGTGTCTGCTTCTGGGTACTCATTGGACACTGTGAGGGATATCACAGGCCCTTTTAAAACCTCCATTTTAGGGCCTGGAGAGATAGCTCAGTAGTTAAGAGCATCTGTTGCTCTTGCAGAGGGCCCAGGTTCAGTTCCCAGAACCTACATGACAGTTCACAACCTTCCTTAACTCCAGTTCCAAGAAATCTGATTCCCTTTTCTGGCCTCCATACAAACATGCATGTAGGCAAATACTCATACACATAGAATAAAAATAAACCTTCAAAAAAATTTACTAATGAGGAGATTGAGTCAGAAGAGCAAATGACTTGAGCAAGGCCATAGTCAGTCTGTAGAGAAGTGGAGATTAGAAGTCAGGCTGTCTGGAAGAGGGCCGAAGGGGGGGAAAAAAAAGGCTTTCTTCGTGCATATTTAACCTGACCTCTGAATCATAACACGAAAGTTCAAGTGTACCACTCAAGGCCTTCTGTGGACTGTGTGGGAATTGCCTTTGTGGATTTGTTTAAGAACCACCTCCTGCCAGGCCTGGTGGCACATGCCTTTAATCCCAGCACTCAGGAGGCAGAGGGAGGAGGATCTCTGTGAATTCAAGGCCATCCTGGTCTACATAGTTCCAGGCCAGCCAGCTGGGGCTACAGAGAAACCCTGTCTCTCAAAAAGACAAAAACAAAAAACAAAACAAAAAAAAAACAACAAAAACCTCCTATACTTCCAAAGTACCTTTTAATTGCAAAGGGTTTCCATATATTGAAACCCTCTGGATTGTTCTATTTATAGCCAGTGCAGACAGCACATAGTGATCTGTAATGACTTCGTTGTGTTTCAGAGAAAATAGATTGGGGAGTGAAGTAACTGGCCTGAAATTGCATAGTCCACATACACTGGGCCAGGCTTAGCCCTGGCCTTCTGAAGTCAAGCCCACTATCTTTTCACCTAATCTTCTGTGGGGCCCTGTGCATTAGACTATGGGTACTGTTCCTACTGTCATCTTTAAGCAACATGACAGCACAGGGGCAGAACTTTGAGGTCATAGTATAACCACTGTGCACCCGGTTTCTGCCTGCATAGCTCTGGCTCCTCCATGCCACACCCTCTCAGCTCAGCTGGAGACTGGCATGTTCTCAGAGCCCTGAACTTAGGCAACTCCTGTCTCTGCCTTGGCAGCTGAAATACCAATTTTATCCTTTACAGTTTTGCTCAGTGCATAAAGGAAGAAATTGTGACTTCCAGTCCAGTGTAGGCCAAGGACACAGACCATTCCTAGAGGAAAAAGAGAAGAAAAGGGACATTATTAGATATCAGGTGGCCTTTAGTTTATGGGTAAAGTACTGCCTGTAAAGTCTGGCGTGGTCTGTTCTAGTGTCCCTCAGCAGAAAGGTGGGTTCCCCAAGGACAAGAAGCTGGACACCCCCACAGAGACTATTCCTGGGGCACATTAAAGCTGCCCTTTGGCTACTTTTACATCTTCTGGAAATGTCATGTCCACTTGGCTGCCAAGGTTTGGCCTGACTATTGCTATAAGATGAGTTCATACCTAAAAGCAACATGGTGGATATGTACTCATATCCCTGTCTAGGGCAGTCCCTCCCTGAAGTCTAGTGGCCTCCACTTTAGGAAATCTGGGACACAGAAACTGCTAAGCTATGGCTGGCAGCCTGATTTCCACCTTCATTCCCCGCAACCATGCAAAGTTTTCCATGCAGCACATCTCCAAGAGGACCTCCTTGCTAAAACAGCCACCCTCATTTACCTGAGGAGCTCTTGATATCCGATGGCATTGTGGTTATGCAGCTAGTAAAGAAGAAGTGGAACGTGGCCATACTGGGAAAGACAGACACCAGTCAGAGCTATATAGAGCCTTTGGCAAGGAGAGATCTGCCACAGTTTTGGAACTAAGACCCAAAGTGATTAGCTAGGATGGCCCTTCCTGGGGCTGTGATGTAAATCACATTCTAGCTGCTGTGACTGGTGGGTCATGAAGACCTCAGATGCTGATGAAGACTGTGCCTATAAAGTGTGGGGTCACTCACATGCTAGCGTGGCAAAGGGCAGTCCCAACCAGAGAAGACTTCCCTTTAGAGGGCTACTTCTGTTCTCAGAAAAGATTCTCTAAAGGTCAGATATGGGTGATCTTCACATATGCTTTGTCATCCAGGGGCCATACACCCCAAGGTGTGCTGATAAACTGGCCCTTATTTGGAGTGTTTGTAGATTTTCACAGTGTAAATATTCCCACAATGGATGATTAATGTTGGATGATTAATGTTTAACCAGGCTTGTAAAGTCCCTAAATATCTCACTGGACAGTAGGGGTGACTAGGGCACTACTGAGTCAGGCTAGTCTTTCAGTTCACAATAAGGGCTACCATTAGGGCTGAGCCTTCAGATTTTATGTCCTGAGGCGAGGACATCTGAGGTCCACTTGACAGCAAGATTAAAGGTCTCACTTCACATGTGAACACAAGAATATTCCAGAGACCCATGCAGCCATGAGAGGGGCTGGTATAAAACACACATACTTCAGACACTGGGCTCAGTTCTCAGCAGAAGAACATGGACTAACAGGCCTACCTGCTAAGGTACTATAGCACATTACTCCTAATGTACTGTGATAATTATAGACCTATACTATATACATTTAGAAAGACAAGAAGGAGGGGCTGGAGATGGAGCCTGCCTAGCATGTGCAAGGCCCTGGGTTAGATCCCAGTATTGCAGAAAAGCAAAAAGGGACTGGAAAGAAATGTTAGTGATAGTATGACTTATTTCTTTTTTTAGTATTTTCTGCCTTTTTTTTTTTCTTTTTGAAAGTCAGGGAAAAAATAAAGGAATGTTACACATGAAACTAAAGTAAACTCTCATCTCCATAAGTATGTTGTCTGTTTCTTTTTCTTCTTTTCTGAGGGGCTAGGGTTTAAACCCAGGGATTGGGGCATGGTAGACAGTGTTCAGCTGAGCTGTACAGCTATACCGTCTTTAAAATTCAAGTTATCAGTTTTTGTTGTAACTACATATAAACAATCTATATACAGCATCTTTGAATCTGGTAAAATTCTCTAAAAATCCTCCCTAATTAGAAAGAGTTGCTTAAAGATTACTCAAGGATCCTTGCTAGAATCCTGGGAGTGTGGAGCCAGCAGCAGCTCTGGGGCTTTGCCCAGGGCTGGCTGGCCTTCTCCCTCCAGCTGCTGGCCTCCTCCTCCAGCTTACCTGAGTGGTTCCTCCTCCCACTCCCCTTCCAGGTACTTCTTGTAGGATGTGTTGAAGATCTCCATGTGCTGCTCCCACTGAGCATCCTTGATGAAGTGATTCTGGCCAGAGCCCAGCCCACAGCAATCCTCTACCTTCGAAAAGACTTCCAGGGGGCTTTTAAATGTGGTACCTTGATTGAAAAGATTTCAGAATTTACTGAAATCACTTGCTTCCTGTAGAAGCCTCACCTCAGAAGCCCATTCTTGCTCTACAGTGGGTCTGTGAGTCAGTGGTTCAGCCCTGGCTAGCTCCTCCCTCACCACACAGCCTTATAGGGTCCAGACAGAGGGCAATAGCTCTCCCTCTCTACATCTCCAACCCAGCATCCCAAGTTCTCCACATGGGCCACGGAAATGACCACAGTGTGCTAGAGACTTAGGATAACGTTGTTGTCTCCCCAGCAAAGCAAGGCCCAATGCCAATGACCACTGCTTCCCAGCTGCTGCTGGAGACCCTGGCTTCCTATGTAGTCTCTGTCGCTTCCTAGGCTGATGTTTATCCTCTCACTTTCCTTCTGCAGGACTTCTGTTATGTCAGCCATTTTTCCCATCATTTTTCTTCCCAGTAACCTTCAGTTTCCCAAATCCACAGCCCCTCCCTGCCTTTCTAGTGTCAGGAATCAAACCCAGGGCCTCATGCATGGTAGGCAGTTACATCCCTGGCCCACTACTGACATTGTCGTAGAGCCACTATGTACTTGCTACTGTAGGTGTGTGTGGAAGCCAGAGGTAGATGTCAGATGTCTTTCCTTGATTGCTCTCCATATATATTTTTTGAGATAGGGTCTCTCACAGAATCTGTTCATTTCAGCTGGCTGGTCAATGAGCTTCAAGGATCTATCTGTCTCCCGACACTTTCTCTCAGTGTTGGAGTTACAGGTATGTACAAATATGCCAGGCTTTATACGTGGCTTCTGGAGATCTGAACTCAGGGTCTTCTGCTTATGCAGCAGGTACTTTACTGACTGAGCCATCTCCCCAGGCTACCACTGCCATTCATATACACATCTCTTGGTTTACATTTGCTTATAACTCTGTAGGTCTATATCTATGGAAAGTGTATAACTCAAATTGGTTTGCTCTAAAGTTTCCTAATTTTAGCACTGAAAATTCCACATCCCAAGAAATCCCTCAGTTTGTTAGCCAGTCAAACTGGTATGACTAGTCACTTCATGTAGGAGTGTAGATGCTGGTTCACAGGCTGGGCAAGCACTCTACTAGCTGAGCCACATCTCTAGCCTCTCTTCCATGCTCTTAATGATACTGCTGGACACTTAGATTTGTCCAACAAATCTGGGATTTGTTATTGTTGTTGTTTTGTCTGTTTGTGGTTTTGTTGTTCTTTTGTTTGTTCGGATACGGTCTTGTTATATGACCCAGGCTGGCTATACAAATTCAATATGTAATCTAGTCTATCCTAAAGTGGGTTGCAGCACTACCAGACCCGACTTACAAGTTCTTACTTTTAGTGTAATCAAACTTTTCCAATTTTCTTTTTATTGCATTTTTTTGTGTCTTTAAAAAGGCTTTCCCTGGGGCTGGAAAGATGACTCGGTGGTTAAGAGTGCTTACTGCTTTGCAGAGGAGTCAGGTTCAGTTCCCAGGGCCCACATTGGGTGGCTCTAACTCCAGCTCCAGGGGACACAATCTCTCTTCTAGACTCTGTGGGCACCTGCACTTACACTTGCATAAACCCAAATATAGACACACACATATACATGTAATTAAAAATAAATCTTTAAAAGTCTTTCCCTACCTAGGGAAATAAAATTTTCTAAAAGGTTTGTTTTATCTTTCATATTTACTTCTGAAATTCATCTGAATTTAGTTTTGTGTTTAGACTGAGTCAGGATTTAAAGTTTTGTCTTGAGATAAACAAGTAGTACAATGTATTGAAATGACAGGCCTTATAATGTCACCTCTAATAATTCCATTTATACATGCATCCATTTGTTTATATTCAGATATTTTCTTCCCATTTCAGTCACCTATATTTTCTTGTTCTTAGTTCTACCTATCTGTTTCTATATTTTGTTGATATTTTTGTTATTCATTAAAAGATTTTTTTTGGTCTTTTTGAGACAAGGTCTCCCTGCAGGCCCAGCTGGCCTGGAACTCACTATGTAGACCAGGCTGGCCTCAAACTCACAGAGATCTACCTGCCTCTGCCTCCCGAGTGATTTTATTTTTATTTTATGTATGTGAGTATGCTTGCATCTATGTAAGTGCACAACATGCATGCTTGGTCCCTGTGGAAGTCAGAAGGCATGGGATCTCCTGGAACTGGAATTATGGATGTGTTTTAGCTACCATATGAGTGCTGGGAACTGAACCCAGGTCTTTTGGAAGAGCAATAAGTGCTCTTAACTGCTGAGACATCTCTCCAGATCTTTTGTATTTTTGAGACAGGGTCTCAAGTAGCTCAGGCAGGCCTCAAACTCACTATATAACAGAGGATGACCTTGACCTCCTGATACTCCTACCTCTGTTTTCCCAAGTACTGGGATTACAGATTTATCTTTTCTTAATTAATATAGTTTTGTAATAAATATTGACAATAATCCTATTACTAATTTTTTTTTGTCTTTTTTGTTAGGGTTCCAAATAGCTCCACCCCCTCCCCAACAGGGACCTACAAACTCTGCTGAGAAGCAGCCTGCCTTTCCTCTGACCTCCAAAGATAAGATAAGCAGAGTTCCTCTTATCTAAAGAGGAAAAAGAAAACACTTCCACACCCTAATCCTACCTGCTTCCCCATCCCTGATTTCTCCCTCAAACATTCCCCCCTTCCACACCCTAAAGCCCCCATATGTAAAGTCCCAGCTTACAACCCCTGGACATCCTTTCCTGGACATCTTTCCCTGACTTCCTTCCCCCTTTGCCCTTCCCCCTTCTCCCTTCCCTTCTCCTTTCCCTTCCCTTCCCTTCCCTTCCCTTCCCTTCCATCTTTCCCTTTGTGGACATCTTTCCCTTCCCGAGGGATAGGTACCC